AAGCCCCGCCCGCCTCAAGAGAATGAGAAGCCCCGCCCGCCTCACGAGGATGAGAGAAGCCCCGCCCACCTCACGAGGATGAGAGAAGCTCCACCCGCCTGACGAGAATGAGAAAAGGAAGCACAAGGTGATCCTTGGCACTTCCACGAAATGAAAACACGCCCTCCAGGGTCCTTTATGGGGTCAGCACCCAAGCAGCTGACTTTACACCATCTGCACCTGCAGATGCACCGCCCATGTGGCAACGTAATTCAGGTTCACCACCCACGATGGTGTCTTCAAGAAAAGGGCCACGTTCTGTTTATCCTGAATTGTGATTAAAAATACTAGGAAAGGGAGAATATATTTATACTCTGAAATATATCCAAGTATACATGTGCAATACATCTTATAAAAACTTAGCTTTCAATAAAAGTAATGCAGAAATTTCTCATATTTAAAGTATCAGCTTTCCAGAAGGATACACTTCCTGGAAATTCTGGAAAGCTGATATTTTAAGTTCAACTTGAATCTGAAAATATGAGAGTTCACCTTTACATGTCTGTATTAGTACAAGGAACAGAGTTTCATGATCCTGCTCTGTAAATCACCAACACCAAAAGCCCTGCTGTCTAATCAAGGGGGATATGTCAAAGTTTAAAGCTCTTAATGAAAAACAGTACGTCATTGAACCATCTTACCTGTCGACGAATTACTTCAAGGTCTCTCTTGGCTTTATTCACTAGGGTTTGAATTTCTACAGGATCCTTCACATTTTTATTTTCTCTGAAGGCATCTCTTATCCTCCTGACAGCATATGTTCTAAATGAATTCAGAGGAAAAAAAAGAAAAGGTGTCAGTGTGTCTGAGACTATGCTTTCAAATGAATTTAAAAGCTTTTCCTTTAGAATTAACTGTCTAATCTTCCCCTATGGATAATCCACTTTGATCTCTGCTCCTGGCGCAGGCAGATCCATTACCATTCTGGGATGACTAAGCAAACAGACTTAGGAAAATAAATCTACTCTCAACAAGCCACATACAAATGGCAAACTGCTACTGAAGAGTTCCTTAGATTATTGGTTCTTTAGCATTATTCACATCTGCTTTCACTCCATTTACATGGATAATTGAACCTTTAGTGTACAGACATAAATCAAGAACTCAGAGGTTAGCTGCAGTGATCCATGATTGTGCTACTGCACTCCAGCCTGGGCAACAATGCAAGACCCTGTCTTTAAAAAAGGAAGAAAAAAATTCAGAGGTTAAATGATGATCACATTTGCATGTACCCAGATAGTGACCTATGCTTTCCAATCCCTGTCCCATCTTCTGGCTCTCACTTCCCTTTCTGTGGTCCACATTAGGATCCCACCACAGTTGAACCTGTGGAATTAGGCCAACATGCTTTCTTTTCCTCCATCTTGAAAGTGCACACGCCTACCACCCACCCCCAAGCAGACAGATTACTTGCAGTACAGGACAGCAGTTCCACAGCAAGGCTTGCGGATCAGACAGGCTTGGGTTTGTAGCCTTGCTCCAGCTCCTACTGTTTGTGTGAACTTGGGCAAGCTTTTTAACAAAAGGCCATGTCTCCTCATCTGTCAAAAAGGCATAATAATGCTAAGTGCTGTTGGGAGGATTTGGCTTTATAACATGGGTCTGGAATTTGGCCCAAAGCCTGTTATATAGAAAGACTCAATAAATGAAAGCTATTCTTAACACTTGTTACGCCTTAATGCAATTAGTATTCCCTCTCCTCATGCCATGACCTTGCCTTCCTTAGTCCTGCATCTTTACAGTCACACCACAGTGTGTGTACAGAAGGTAGAGTGGTCTGGATAATTAGCCACAACAGACAACTCAGCAGTCCTTAGACATAGTCCCACACTCAGATGGCTATGGTCTATCTCTAGCTCCACCCCATCTACTCCAGAATGAAAGGCACAAGACTAAGGAGAAGCAGACTGAGCCAGACATGTGAGACACCATTTTCTCTATTTTTTTTTCTTTTTTAGAGATGAGGTGTCCCTCTGTTGCACAGGCAGTGTCATGATCATAACTCACTACAATCACAAACCCCTGGGCTCAAGTGATCCTCCCGCCTCAGCCTCCACAGTGGCTAGGATTATAGGCACCCACCACCACGCCTGGCTAATTTAAAAAAATTTTGGGGGGGATGGGGACTTGCTGTGTTGCCCAGGCTGGTCTTAAACTCCTGGGCTCTCAAGCTACCCTGCTGCCTTAGCATCTCAAGGAACTAGGATTACAAGTACATGCCATAGTGCCTGGCTCTCCAGTCTTAATGATCACAGACTGCTCTGCTTTTAACCTTGAGCACTGGTTAAAGAATCCATGTGATGCCGGTGGTAATATTGAGCAATAGAAGAATGGAAATATAGGCAAAGAAATGAGAGGAAGGGAATATCAATTTCCTTGGGAGCAGCGGGGAGCGGGTGTTGGGAGCTCATACAACTTATTGGGAAACTATCTTAAAAAGGACAAATTTTGTTTTAGATCAAGTTTTTTAAAGTAAAAAGGCATTTTACATTAAAAAATTCAAATGTCAGGTCTATTTGCATTTAAAAGCAAGAGTAAAACTAAATCTTATAATATTAGGAATCATAAAGGAGAAGGGAAGAGTTTAGGAACTGGTACTTTCAGAACGTAAGACACTGCTGAGACTTTGATCTTAACCCTCTGTGAACCAGCTGGAGTATTTCAGAGGAGCTGCTGGGTGCTCAGTATCAATCCTAAAGGGCTACAGTGATTGAGCATGGAATCCATGTACTAGCAGCTGCTACATAACTGGGGCTCATTCACTTCTAAAGGGATATGGGAGGATTTTACAAATAGAATACATCAGATACAGACTCTCCTCAGGTGCAGCTGCTAATCTAACAAGATTTTAGATGGCAGCTAGGTAAATTAACAGCAATTTCTGGCACACTTTCTTGCATTGCCTAATGGCTATTTATATAACACAGTATCACTGTTCTTCTTGACACCCACACACTCCTCTAAAGCAGTTTCTTTTTTGGCAATGATGGCAGCAAAGAGGGGACAAAATAATTTAATTCTAATATTTGTTCCATGGGCAAAATTGGTTTACAACATGAATTTACCTCCAGGAATCATCTACTGTTTCAATTTTTCATTTCGTATGCTGCATGGGCTTCTTGGACAAACAAAATGGGCAACAGTAGTCATTGCTAAACTCATTTTTCTAAAAGCTAGTAACTACCTTAGAATAGCTAGGAAAAAAGGAGTACTGTTTGGAATGTAAAGACCTAAGGTCTTCCAAAGTTTAAGGAAATGAGAAAATAGCTTAAAACACTCAACAATTTATATCAACCGAGCTCAAGGTCCAGGGTCCGGATATTCTGCTATGTATTCTTGTTTGTCTCCCCAGCTCTCCAAAGTCCTTACCTAAAGAAAAGAAGCTCTAGACCTTGGACTTCAATGTGTCTAAAGCAATCAAGAGACATGATTCAAATTTTCGATGCACTTTTGAGATGAATGCTGTAATGGTTCCCTCCTCTCTGTCTTGCTCTTTCTGCCCCACTTACAGCACCAAGTGTTATTCTCTGCCCTGAGGGAAAATATTTCACTGGCTCAGAAACGCAAAACTCCTCCTGCATGAACAGTTGATTCTTTAGTTGTAAGAATTCTTATTTCAAATGATCACAGCTTTGTGAAAGTCATCACAAATTTGAGTGAATCTTCAAATTTGGTGGGGGGGGGGGGCTAATCATCAATTATTTCAATCCTGGCCCTCCCCTGGGTTTTACCATTTTTTTTTCTTTTTTCTTTTTTTTTTTTTTGTGCAGATTCTGGCTATCAGCCTCTTGACCATACCACTGAGCAAGAACATTTCAAAGAAAAATCTGCAGATGTTGCAGTGAAAATGGCAGCTAGCTGTTACACAATGCCATGCATTAGGATGATCCTAATAAGTCAGGCGCTGTCTGAAATACAGCATGAAAAACTCACACACAAAGGGCAACACAACCAAATACAAAGCGGCAGCCCCACATCCACAGAAACGGCGAGGTGATGATGTTCTCACACACACTGTCCTTTCCACCGTCCTGAAGCTTGGCAGTTTCTGGATGCTTCTCTGCGCAGGAGACTCCCATCGGGCTTTTTCTTCCTCCACCCCAGCCTCTGCTTCATTCTGTCATTAGATCTCAAGTGCCCACGGGTTCTTTTTACCATCGCAAGCATTATATACTCTTTTCTGAGATTCCTCCACTCACTCCAGTTTCCCAGCTGCACAGCAACACAGCAGGCAGTAACGAAAGCTCATTAGTGTTTGAGGTTCTGCTTTACTCTGTCCCCTCAGAGAAACACCAAATGCAGCCATAATCACAGCCTCTGAGCACTTAGAGGCTCCTATCAGCTTTAGCATCCAATGTGTGATGTGGAAACCAGCTAATGTAATGCCTTTCATTTCTGTCATCTTCATCAGCATCTCAAGTGCTGGTTTCTCTGTGTACCCATCCTATAAACACATCGTGCCTTTTCTTGGTCCTCTGCAACCTTAACTCAAGTATCCTAGGAACAATAAAAAGCTCAGTCCTTTCTACTGGCCTCTGTGGGGCAAACTCATCTACCTCCGACGACTTGGAAGGACACATCCTCCACCTACTTGCCTTAACTGAAATGTGCAAGGGGAAGCTGCTAAATTCTAGCATGTCCCCATATTCCACAGGGCCCAGAGGAGGGTGCTGGTGTATTCCGGGAGCTTGCTGCTGCTTCCAGATCACTGATTCACCCCTATGCATCTTTGAGGCCATGCCATCTGACAATACTGTGTTGCACGCCTCCATGACATTGTTACTTGTTAATTTCTGGAGGTCAAGTCTTCATATTCAAGTCTTAATGTCTAAAGAGCACTCATTGCAATACACAGGCCATCAGTTTTAGGTTTCTTTTTTTAGAGACAGGGTTTCACTGCCACCCAGGCTGAAGTGCAATGGTGCTATTATAGCTCTCTGTAGCCTCAAACTCCTGGGCTCAAATGACCGTTTCCGCCTCACCCTCCCAAGTAGCTGGGAATAGAGCAGCACGCCACCACGACCCGCTAATTTTTATTTTGTAGAGACAGGGTGTCACTATGCTGCCCAGGCTGGTCTCAAACTCCTGACTTCCAGGGAGCCTCTCGCTTTGGCCTCTCAAAGTGTGGGGATTACAGGTGTGAGCCACGGTGTCTGGCATAGCTACTCCTTCCTAAGCTCCTTTGTGGGCTCATCTCATTCTGCTGCCCTTTATACGCTGTATTCTCTAGGGCACATATGTGAACCATTTTTCTTATTTATAAGATCTCTGCCAGTAATTGCACCTGTCAAAGGCTTCACCTGCCATATAGATGCCATTGGCTACCAATATTTCTCTAGTCCAGACCTTCCTTCTGAGGTCAAAATCCATATACCCAATTGCCTTTTGGACTTGTCAACTAAAATATAGACTCTTCCAGTGAACACATTCAAAACTGAAGTGCCCGGCTGGGCGAGGTGGCTCATGCCTGTAATCCCAGCACTTTGGGAGGTTGAGGTGGGCGGATCACATGGTCAGGAGTTCGAGAACAGCCTGGCCAACATGGTGAAACCCCATCTCTACTGAAAATACAAAAATTAGCCGGGCATGGTGGCGCATGTTTGTAATCCCAGCTACTCGGGAGGCTGAGACAGGAGAACTGCTTGAACCTGGAGGCAGAAGTTGCAGTGAGCCAAGACCATGCCATTGCACTCCAGCCTGGGCTACGGGTCAAGACAATATCTAAAAACAATAACAACAACAACAACAACAACAACAAACTA